GGAAACAGCGCGTAGTCCCAGCTCCGAGATGCTGAAGTCCAAGAGCAGCGCAAGGAGAAGAAGGGCTGCCCGAGACCCTGGCCAAGAAGAAGGCCATCTGGAACCCTCAGAACGAGGACCGCCGCTGCTTCAGGTGGAGGGGGCGACGGGAGAGAGGAAGGAGCGCATGAAGTCCACTTGCTCCGGGATCAAATACCCATCCACAAGACCTCGCTCCAAATTCCATCAGCTTGGATTGCCTTCTTTGCACGTCTCCCCCAAACCGCAAATTAGATTCCGCCGACCTTGGAAGCCTCCAACGCGCACCCACTTCCACAGAAACAGCTACATGTCTGGCTCAAACCCGGGAGCCAAACAAACCTAATTATACAGACACACGGATAGACTAGCCTCTGTTCTGGCAACAAGAACGCAGAGATTCGCAGGTGCTGCGTCAAGGTCAATCTTCTTGAACTCACTCACCCTGATTTGTTAGCCACCATTGGGGGCTGGCTTTGTCTCAAATGTAGAAAATGGACCCAAAAAAGGTTGGCTTCCTTTTTGCAATAGTCCTTTTTGGTGGTTTCTTTGGTTCCCCTGTAAAACCCGACCCAAAAACGATTCCCGGAAAAGAAGGAATCACCGAAATCCAGCCGCCCGAGAAAAAAAAAAAAAAAACGCCCACGCAGAGGGGGCACCGTGGCATCGCGGAAGCGTTTCCGGGGCTCGCCTGGCGGTGGAACCAAACATGAAACCGGTTCACAAAAGGGGTTTGTAATGTGGACGGACGAAATCCCTTCGCACTACTTTGAATCCATGGCTGAACCCATTGTTTGTTGGTATTTGCAGCGGAATCATCAGACACCAGGGTTTCTTAGGATTCTGTCCATCCACAGTAGGTTTGAGAGACACCCTACGCCGCCACGTGCTTTGTCCTCAAACTTCAAGGATGTTAATTGATAGACAATGACATCGAAACAGACTAGATGACAATTACATATGCATGGACACCGAATAGCCATACGAGCCCTCTGCACCTAGAATCACCTTGCAATATCACCAGCACCTGGGTATTGCTTGCTTGAGGCTGGTTTTTCTGATAGTTCAGAGCTTGGGGTGTTTGATGCAGCTGGCGGTTTCCTCACATTTCACATGCTTCAAGTGACTAAGTGTCTTGTTAGTTGCTGCGCCCTTGGGTGGCAGGCTACTTGTGCATCTCCAGGAACCATGGCATTTGGCATGTCACGCTGATGTGTTTCAAAGATTGCTTGTCCTTGTTTGTTCTGGAGCAAAACAAACCACTGCCCAAGAATGAACCTTCCCAGTAAACGCGATCCCCCAACTACCCAGGCCGCTCTGGGCGTTATCACTCACCTCGCATGAGTCTCTGTTCAATTCTTGCAAGATCTTGATCAAAGGACCAGACATGCAGCGCTCAAGAAGCTGTGTGAATGTGTGCGTGTGTATGTGTGACTGCAACCACTGAAGAGGATCTTGAAGAAAGTGATGCCATACATGACAGCCGCAGACAGATTAATGTTGACCCAGGATTAATACACCTATCCCATTATTGGGGGGGTGTTCCCTCCAAGAGTGACGAATCCCCACTAAAAGGAATTGGACACCCCCTATTCATCAACCAGGGGTTTATTGATCCGGGGTTAACATTACCACGGATTGGCCAGCTCCCGGGCCCCCTTTGGTCATCAAGTGCAGGAAAATGAAACGACCAACCAAGAACTGTGACTGAAGCGTTACTGACAAATTTGAAATGGGCAGCACCTGACTGCTTGGGCACATGGGAATGAACAGTCCAACTCACACAGTGGTTTCCCCAGCCGGTTTGCTCGCCATGAGGAAAAAAAGGAAAAAAGGGATGACATGCTCATCTCTCTTCTTTTTTTGGGAGGGGAGCATTCCCTTTTTTTTTTAAAGCCAACTTGGTGGATTTGCGTTCTTCCCCCTTTTGGGGAGTGCTCTTTTCGTGGTAAGCGAGCACCCAACTCCGCAAGCCTGGCGCCGAGGGTGCCCCGCCCAGGCTCACGGGCAGAACCTTGGCAGTTGGCTGCCAACCACCCGCAACCAACCCCAACCCAACCCGAACAAGCCAGCCAGCCAACCAGCCAACCAGCCAGCCAGCCAGCCAACCAGCCAACCAGCCAGCCAGCCAGCCAACCAGCCAACCAGCCAGCCAGCCACAGCAGCTGCAACAGCAACGGCTGCCCTAGTGGACATCGGCCAACCGCTCGTGATCTCACTGAGCACTAGCGGGATCCCCACGAAGATCTGCTCCCATCCCGGCGTTCGCTCAGCAACCAACCCGTCGACCAGGCGCCCCCACCAGGCTCCAGCGCCAGCGGAAGATGAAGCCCCGCCTGCCCGATTTCAGGGTCACTCGAATCCCAATGGGAATCGCCCATGCCTTCACGTGCTACTGCCAGAGGGATTGCCAGAACACGGCCCAATTCGTGCCAGTGGTCTGGGATGTCAAATTGGGACGTCACCAGAAAATCTGGTCCACTGCTCGAGATCTCAGCTATTCAGCTTCAAATGGTCAATCTGGGGCCTTTTCTAGGCGCGTTCCCCTGAAACACTCAAACTGCTTCTTGGAACCGCTTTTGCTTCACAAGCTGCGTCCCACATGCCCATCACGGGGCAAACCGTTCCCAACTGAAAGCAATGATGAATCCAATGACCGAAGCAGAGCGAGGCGTCTGCCTGCGCGTTGACTCAAGCTGCGCAAATTGGCTGGGCAACTTCGGCCATCATTTGGCCATGGACCGGTGAACATCGCAATCCCCACCAAAATAGACCAAAATGGGTGGTGCACCTACCCCAAAATGGTACCGTTGGTTTTGACCCACAGCCATTTCTTCGCCAACCGCCTGCCCAAAGTCCGGCCTGGCATCCTTCTTCTTCACCCATGTGCCACAACTCTTACCTCGGATGCGTCAGCGCCACGTGAGTCTCATGGGGCGATGTGATGTGTTCGTCCGGGGTCAAGAGCACCATCTGGGGCCGGTTTCACGTCAAAGACAACATGGCGAACACCGCCTGGCTGCATGCCCCATAGCATAAGCCTTGTCTCCACATTCTGCACCAAACTCCTTGATGGAAGCAGAGCTTCCTCAAGGCAGGTCATGGCTTGTTTTGTGTTAAAGCTCAGTCTTAGGCTCTCACGGTCAAGGGAGTTTTTGACAAGTCAACTTGACCCAATAAATCTCCACAGCCATGTGGTGTGTCCAGATGTTGTTGCCGTGAGGTGGTTGGGTTTGGAGAGTTTCAAAGTTGTTGATTTGGGCTTCAAGCCTAAACCCTAAGAAATGCTTGTTGTTTGCACCGAGGCACCGTAGCTGTACGCAGCCTCGGCTTTCTGCTGCGTCGATTCCTGAGCCGCAACAGAGTTTCATCTGAGCAGTGAAATGTGAGCTGGACAAATCTCTACGTTCACATTTTGGCGGGCTGCATGAAATCTGCCAAACTCGATTTCTTCGAGATGCGCCTTCCGATCAGCATTTGCCCGCAGCAACAGACATTCGATGTCAAGCGGCAATTCTAGAAAAAAAGCCCGCCTTTGGGGCACCAACCTAAGGCGCCTAGCAAAAGCTAGCCCCAACTTTTGGGAACACGGGACCTACTGTGGATGCACGAAATCCTACACCACCGAAGAATTCCCGGAATGATGATTCGCCTGACAAATCATGGATTCCGAAGGTGAACCCCTTTGCAAAAGGACAGTCTTCCAAACGAGGCCAGCACTTCCTTGGTAGTTGGTGGAAGGCGGGCCGAGGGAAAAAAGGATCAATACATCTGGCGAGGGATGTTTCCCCCAGAAGTGAAGGATTCCCTCAAAGATGCGACAAAGCCTTAGGAGAATCCGGGGGCGGGGAAGTGTCACTTGGGCTGGCGGGTTTGTTTGATCGGCACGTTTTTTTTGTGGGTTCTGACTTATGACTCGCGATCCCTGGCAGAGTTAACGAAGTTGTGTAACTGAATCTTGGCAACACAAGTTTTGTACATACAGTATGACAGGCATCGATGCGACGACTTGAGCATTTGACATTCACCTACTCATGATACCTTCTTTTCAACAGCAGCACTGAGTTCGGATTTAACTCCATTGGAAATTGGGTGTCGAGTTTGAAGGCTACCGAGGCACCGAAGGCTTCTTGGCTTTAGGGGGACCTGGCACAGGAGAGGTGTCTGCGTATCGCAACATATGGCTGTGGCTGTCAAGAATATACCCCAAATGGAACCCTAGTGATAGTGGAAACATGGACCAAAACCTGCGGTCCGATTCCTGGTGGTCTCATTTTGACCATACCCATATCGTCCATCCACAGATGATTGGGATGGTTGGCATCATCTTGGCACGTGGAGGCCGCCTAAAGAAGTCCTCACGGCATCTTGCCAACAGTTCTGAGCTAACCCTTGATGGCTGGTCGACAGCTGCCTTATCCTGTGATAAGTGAAAACCTATGGCTTCGGTTCGCTTCTCAAACCTTCGACCTTTGACACCAGGCTGCGGCGATGAACTTACATAGAATGAATATAGAATCTTACTTTGTCTCTCACGTTGCCTCTCCTTGATTCTTGCTTCTCTTGCACTGAATTCAGCTCCTCGTAACTGCAGATTGGTTGTTTAGAGAAAAGTCCCTGAGTCCGGCTGCTCACCTTTTGTTTCTAGCATTCGGACTTGTAAGGTTGTGGAAAATGAGCCTTTCTGAAAACTCTTAGCGCGCGCCAGCCCGAAGAGTATGTTGTGACTTCTAAACCAACTTCACGTCATGCTGTGGATGGCTGCGAAATCCATTTCACACCACCGCTCAGAAACCCTGAATGGATGATTCCCCTGTACATGAATAACCCCATGGGTTCAAAGTGGTGCCAAAAAAAAACAAACAAAAAACAAGAACAAAAACACACACACACACACACACACCAAAAAAAAAAACGTCAAACATGAAGCTAAAACCCTGGCACTTTCGTCCCTCTGCGCCTCCTGCACCTTCAGGCTCCCCTTTAGCAGCCTCTGGCACGAAGCAGAGGTCCAAAAGAGTCCTATTTGGATGTCTGTTTTAGAAGTGGTACCCTTGTTTCTAGGGGCCAAACCACGTGCCCCTTGGCAGGTACCCCTGAGATCCACTGGGAAATATGGCTATATACCTTTTGTGTACCCATTATGGATCTGATCTTTTGTGGTATTTGGTTGGGACTTGCGATTTTTACGGCAGGGAACCTTGTTGCCTTCCTGTGGCGGCATTGTTCAACCAACAAACAAAGGACTCCTGCTTCAACAAACAACCCGCGTGGGACCGGAAGTGCTTGCAAAAAACAATCCTTGGTGACTTTGAAACGGCAAACAATCATGCAATTACATGCTGCAAACTACGTGTTGCATCAGCACACCCGTATATTTTGTAGGTGATTGAAGTTTCTGTGGGTGTATAGAACTGGCGCTCTCGGTCCCTCGTCATTCGCCTCGCGCACGTGCCGCGGGGGCCGGCTCCGGGTGCGCCCCATCTTGCCGGCGGCAAAAAATGGGCAAGTGACCTCTGAGTGGTCGGAACGCTCTTTGTTGTCTGCGCATAGGATTGCCGTCCTTTGATGCGGGCAAAATTTGCCAATCAACAACACCAGTTGATTCCTATCACAGACCAAGCAGGTATGGGCATGAATCAATAGTGGAATTCTAAATGCCTGCGTGAGCTCTCTGTTTGGTCTTAGGCTGATTTGGGGATGCCACAACCCTGAAGTGAGAAGCGTCTATGCCTCCTGCATCTGCGAATGCAGGTCTCTGCAATCAAACGGTGCGCAAATTGCCACGTGTGTGAGACGCAAATGGAGAGCACGAACTGCTTCGCATGTAAAAGCAAAATCTGTTTGCAAAAAATGCGTGAGAAAAAACAGTGTGTTTTTCCTGTGCTGCAAAAACTGCATGAGGGGAAGCAGAGAGAAACAAGGACCCACTGAGCAGTGTCGAGCCGCACCGCAGCTCGAGGATGCTGGATTTGGCACGACTCCAGTGACATGCTGCATGCGTTTCTGGGCGCCAATCCTTCGGAGGTATACCTGGAAAGAGACAGGGTGGGCGGGTGGGTTTTTGAAAAGGGACCAAACCCTTGAGAACATGTCCCCCGAAGGCTTGAAGCATAAACGGCAACGTGGCTAAAGATTTGAACCGGATTAAAGCATGAGGGAGCAAAAGAAACAAACGGTAGAATCCTGTTCGCTGCTTCAAGCCAACCGGAAGAACATGTACTCCAAAAAAGGTTGCTCAAAGGTACAGGCTCAGGGCGCAGGAAGGTTGACAACACGTCCGTTAAGGCCTGTTGCACTGCTCCTAGCTTGAACCCAAACAACCCTCACATCAAAGAACCCCGCAAATCCAAAAGGCGCGCACTTCTTTCTCACGGGTTGCTTGAAAGTTGCACTGCCTCCAGGGCACGCGGCGCACCTCGAGCAGGAGGAACCTTCAAAGCGGGGTTGCGCCTGACAGGGCAAATCCAGGTGTTCTGGCCGCCAAGGCGCATCGATGGGGCACAGAGTGAGCCCCCTTCCAGCTTGAGCAAGGCTGCGAGGGCTGAAGCGCACGCGGTCTGCAGGGCGGTTCATGAAACGGTGAAGGCGTCCTTGGCTGAGGTCGTCCGCCCAGTCTCAAACGTCCGGGCACGTGTGTGGGCTGCAAGTGCACGTTGCGCGCGTGAGCCCAGGTGCCACCAATTGCAGAAACAACTGCAAAGGCCAAGAAGTGCTGAAAAGCTTGTTGATGCCTGCTTCGGCAGAGTCTTTGCAGAGCACGCTTCTTTGCAGAGCACGCTTCTTTGCAGAGCACGCTTCTTTGCAGAGCACTCTCCTTGCACAGCACTCTCCTTTGCAGAGCACTCTCCTTTGCAGAGCACGCTTCTTTGCAGAGCACGCTTCTTTGCAGAGCACGCAGCACGCTTCTTTGCAGAGCACTCTCCTTGCACAGCACGCTTCTTTGCAGAGCACGCTCCTTTGCAGAGCACGCTCCTTTGCAGAGCAAAGACAACCCGCGCTCTCTCTTTAGAGGGGGTTTCCCAAATGGTTTCTATTCTACCTGAGAGGCTCCTAGCACTCGTCCGTCCAGGAAACGACCTCGTCCTGCGAAGGATTCGAAGTCTAAAACGCTGCGTGCAGGCGTGTGGCTGCAAAATAATGACCCCTAGATATGCGCAGCAATTTGGCTCCAGGTTGCATTTCAAGCGATGTCAAGCTTTGCCAAAGGAAACCCCTTTTCCCTTTTTTTTGGGACCCCTTTGTTGGGACCCCTTTTTCTTTTTTTTTGCTTTTTCTTAGCCCTGCAAAGGTTGGCTCGCTTGAAATGCAACCTGGAGCCAAATTGCTGCGCATATCTAGGGGTCATTATTTTGCAGCCACACGCCTGCGCGCAGCGTTTTAGACTTCGAATCCTTCGCAGGACGAGGTCGTTTCCTGGACGGACGAGTGCTAGGAGCCTCTCAGGTAGAATAGAATCCATTTGGGAAACCCCCTCTAAAGAGAGAGGCACTGGCGTCCGCCTTGGAGGCCTGCAGACGGCTCCCAGAAGACCTTGGTGTCGACCTCCAGCGGCGTGATCCTCGCCGCCATGTCTAGGGAGTGCTGGTCCACCACCGTCTTGAGGCCGCCACCGTGGCCAGCGTGGCGTTGAGGCGATGGAGCCGTTCATGGCCGCCGTGGTGCTGTAGTTGACAACCCCCCCGAGCCCGTCAGCTGGATCTCGTACTTGGACTTCAACGCCATGTGCCCGGCAGCAATGACGCTGCCCATGCCCAACGGCCCCTGCGTAGCCAGAAGAAAACGCCGCAAGGCTGAGCTGGCGCACAAGACGTGCCTCTCCGAGCAATAATTTAACAAAAAAATGGAAATTTTGTTAAAAGCTGGACTGGGAGTCCGACACCGAGGAGGTGAGCTACCTGCTCCTCTGGACTACGACTTTCGCACAACCACTTGGACTGGGCTCCGCCCGCGCCAGGAAGGTCGGGAAGGGCCTGTACGGGCCGCGCACGGCGGACATGGCGGAGCGCCTCGGCATCTCCCCGTCCCACTGCAAGAAGCTCGTGCCCTTCCTCGGCATGCACGTAGGCGCCTCAAGTTCTTGCGGGACGTGCTGGGGGCCAGGATCTGGAGGCTGCGCAGAGCCTACCGCTTCGCCTGCAGCCCCTTCATGGCGGGCTTCATGGAGCTCAAGCACAGCGAGCGGAGGCAGCTCAAGACGGCGGGGAGCGGACGACGGATGAGCCTGCGGCGTCCGCAAGCGCGAGTTCTCGCGCGGACGTCTGCCTGACAGGTCGGGTGCGAAGGGGTCGAAAAAAACGTCGGGAAGCGAGCCTGGTACCCTTGCGTCCAGCGCTTCTCCGAGAGGAGCTTCGCCTCCAAAACCGCGATGCGGGTGTCCTGACAAGAAAAAACACCCCAAAAAGGGGAGAAAAAGAAAGGAAGAAGACGAGCCTTCGCGGCCACCTCGGCCTCGCAAGGATGCACTGCTCGAGGCCGAGCGTCTGCGCCACCGGCGTCTCATCGAGCACCTCGACGAGGAGCTCATCAGTGAAACTATGCGCTGTGAGGAGCGGGAGCGCAACAACAGAATTCTCCGCTGGCAGCTGGACCGCCTCAACGAGATCATCGAGGAAGAGCGCGAGCGAGCGGTGCTGGCAGAGGAGCGTGTTGAGGGGCTGGAGCGCAGCAACATCCGCTGGCGGCTGGAGCGCCGCAACGAGATCCTTGACAAAGAGAATGAAGATCTTCGCGAGCGAGCGGTGCTGGCGGAGGTGCGCGTTGATGAGCTTGAGGAGCTGGAGCGCAGCAACATCCGCTGGCAGCTGGAACTCCGCATCGAGATCCTCGAGGAAGAGAACGAAGATCTTTGCGAGCGAGCGCGTTGATGAGCTTGAGGAGGATTTGGACAGGGGATGCATCATCACGCGCTAAAGAAAAAAGTCCGCCAATGCTCGAGTGGTCCCAAATGCTCGAATGGTCCCAAAAAAACCCGCGCAGCCTCTTTAAGCTATCATGACTTCCTCCAAGGCCTTCCGATGCGTGCAGGCATGGCTTCTGGAAAAGCCTGCCGCGTGGGTGGACGAGGATGCTCCCTGCCCTGCGGCCGCTCTGATGGCCCAGCAGCCTCCCACCAAGCGGCTTTGCGAGGATGCGCTGCTTGAGGCCGCGCGACCGTGTCGAGCTCCTCAGGCGAAAGTCGAATGCCTCGAAGAAAGGATCTGGGACCTGGAGGGAGTCCTGCAAGAGAGCTACGTCTCTCAACCGGCTGTTTACGGCCAGGCCACGCGCGCCCAGCGGGCAGAGCTTGCCCTGCGCTGGTTTGAGAGTGATCGGGCGTGGCACGGGCGGTGGGAATATTGGGACGTGGTCAGAGATCACGGGGGGGCTCGCCAAGCCCCCCGCCGATGGGCGGAGCTGTCGTCGGAGACGCTGTAGAGTAGAGACGTAGAGGCACAGAGATCAGAGTCTCAAAAGGCAGGTGGGAGCCTGGGGCCTCTCTGTAGCCTCCGCTAGGCGTGCTCTGCAAAGAAGAGGAAGTGTGCTCTGCAAAGATGTTGAAGTTTGCTCGCGAAGAAGAGGAAGTCTGCTCTGCAAAGAAGAGGAATTGTGCTCTGCAAAGAAGTCTATTTTGCAAAGAAGAGGAAGTGTGCTCTGCAAAGAAGAGGAAGTGTGCTCTGCAAAGAAGAGGAAATGTGCTCTGCAAAGAAGAGGAAGTCTGCTCTGCAAAGAAGAGGAAGTGTGCTCTGCAAAGATGCTGATGTCTGCTCTGCAAAGAAGAGGAAGTGTGCTCTGCAAAGAAGAGGAACTGAAGTGTGCTCTGCAAAGAAGAGGAAGTGTGCTCTGCAAAGAAGAGGAAGTGTGCTCTGCAAAGAAGAGGAAGTGTGCCCTCTGAAAGGAAGAGGAAGTCTGCTCTGCCAAAGAATGAGGAAAGTGTGCTGAGCAAAGAAGAGGAAGTTAAGGTACTCTGCGCAAAGATGCGGAGGTGTGCTCTGCAAAGAAGAGGAAGTGTGCTCTGCAAAGAATAGGAAGTGTGCTCTGCAAAGAAGAGGAAGTGTGCTCTGCAAAGATGCTGAAGTGTGCTCTGCAAAGATGCTGAAGTCTGCTCTGCAAAGAAGAGGAAGTGTGCTCTGCAAAGAAGAGGAAGTGTGCTCTGCAAAGAAGAGGAAGTGTGCTCTGCAAAGAAGAGGAAGTGTGCTCTGCAAAGATGCTGAAGCGTGCTCTGCAAAGAAGAGGAAGTCTGCTCTGCAAAGAAGAGGAAGTGCTCTGCAAAGAAGAGGAAGTGTGCTCTGCAAAGACGAGGAAGTGTGCTCTGCAAAGAAGAGGAAGTGTGCTCTGCAAAGAAGAGGAAGTGTGCTCTGCAAAGAATAGGAAGTGTGCTCTGCAAAGAAGAGGAAGTGTGCTCTGCAAAGATGCTGAAGTGTGCTCTGCAAAGATGCTGAAGTCTGCTCTGCAAAGAAGAGGAAGTGTGCTCTGCAAAGAAGAGGAAGTGTGCTCTGCAAAGAAGAGGAAGTGTGCTCTGCAAAGAAGAGGAAGTGTTGCTCTG